AGAGAGCTTGTCCCAGAAAGACCCTTATATATCATGAATGCACCAAAAGATTCAAAAAAGATGAAGTGTTCACGGTACTAATCGCGTTCGGTTAGCCGAGCTTTGATTTATCTGAGTTAACAAGAAACCTCTCTTATGCATATGTAACCCTAATCTAACAAAGGGAAGTTACTTAATTCACCCCAAACATTGATCACTATGTGCTTATTGATTAAGATTACCACATGGAAACATTTTTGCTATAAGAACTTTTTTCTTGATCGAGGTTGTAGACTGAATGAATGCTTAATTTATGTGGTCGGGAACATGTTCAAGTAACAGTTATATTGATTTTTTTTTTTCTGTTTGAAGTTAAAGCAAACACATTCTTTTTCAATTAGAGCATTAATTAAGGGTAATACATTTTGAACTCAGAATAAATGAATAATATACATATATATATATATATATATAGAGAGAGAGAGAGAGGAGTAATGAAATGCAAACCACTTAATTTGTACAAAATGTGAAAACCATACTCATCCGTCGATTTCATTGTTTAATCTTATGAAATTTTTTCATGAAGTTGTTTAATATTGTGAAATTGTTTCATATAATACTTTTTTTGATGAAGTTGTTTCATATATGATTATGAAATTGTTTCATATAATACTTAATGAAATTTTAATGAAACTGTTTTATGTATTTCTCTAAAATTAAAATAATGAAGATGATAATATTCATGATGATTAACACCATTTACAATAAAAATGATTAATCAACCTCTCATAATCACAAAAAAAATAAAAAAATTATGATTGGTTAAATAAGGTTTGCACGGTTTGTACAAATTAAATGATTTACATTTGATCACTCCTCATATTATATATATATATATATATATATGCAACGTGGTACATATTTATATCATTCCCTTCTTGTCTGCATCTTTTTCTCGGTCTGAAGTAAAAACACACACACACATACATATATATATATACATATATATATATATATATAAAATAATTAATATGTTAAAAGCACATTATTATTATTAATTAATTCATCAAAAAGATGTAGTTATAGAGAATAAGATTAGAGAAGAACATGCAAAGTATAGCTTTATAGAGTAGAGTACTGGTGAGTGGACCAAGCCTGAAAGTTTCCCCAAACTCAGAAATTAATTACCATTTCTTTATATAGCTTCTCTTTTCATTCCAAATACCGATCTGGAAGCTCTCTTTTCATGGAATCCACTGCACACTAAGTTCTAGTCTTTCTAAATTCTAACATTATATATATATATATATATATATATATGTGTGTGTGTGTGTGAATAGAGCTACCTCCCTATATATATTCCCAATTAAATTGGCTTTAATTTGAGATGATCAAACTATATATGTCGATCAGAGAGCTTGCCCATGTGCAGCAGTAGAGCTTTCGTCATTTCTTAATTATGTGCCATGCATCCCTTCGTTTTCGATCACATAATGCTTCACAAAAATACATAAATATATGTTGACATAAAAACCTACAAGGGCAGCTGGCCTCTACATATCAACTATTTAGTGACCACCAATAATATCATAAGACATAATTAAATTAAAGCATAACACTTCTCTATCAATTACACACATATATATGTATATATAAGAGCGATTAAATACAAACCATTCAATTTGTATAAAATATGCAAACCTCATTCAATCAATCATTATTTTTCATTTTGTTCATTTTTTTGTAATTATGAGAGGTTGATTAATCATTTTTATTGTGGAGTGTGTTAATCATGAATATTATCATCTTCATTATTTTAATTTTAAAGAAATACATGAAACAGTTTCATTAAAATTTCATTAAATATTATATGAAACAATTTCATAACCATATATGAAACAACTTCATCAAAAAATGTATTATATGAAACAATTTCACAAGATTAAACAACTTCATGAAAAAATTTCATAAGATTAAACAATGAAATCAGCGGATGAGTATGGTTTTCACAGTTTGTACAAATTAAGTGGTTTGCATTTCATTGCTCCCCTCTCTCTCTCTCTCTCTCTATATATATATATATGTTCCAATTGCAAGTATGTCAACAATGGAGAGAAAGTAACTCCAGTCATCAACTTAATTTTTCCAGAAACTACAAATTGAAGGAAAGCAGAATTGCTTCTAAGAATAGTGGCATAATCACTTGGTGATGTTTTTTCGTTAAGCAATATATGGATTAAACTGTTTGTATAAATAAGGTGTCTGTGTACGTTAAATTGCGAATTTAGATGATAAGATTAGACCTTGAATTAAAATGAAATTTTTTATTAACATGCTAATTAAATGCAAATTCTAAATTATAACAGGTTAATATCAATTTAACAATAATTTAAATGAAAACAACTTGATAACAATAGAAATTCAACGAATAAAACCATTTTTAAAGTAGAATCTGCATTTAATTTTCTTCCTTAATTTCTTCACTGTATGTTATTTGCAAACTGAATTCGATATAAAGAACCAAATAGGCAAACAATACGTTTTCAACTTCATCAACATTTCTAAAATGATTTGCACAAACACATAAAATACAAGTGAAGATGGGTGAATCTAAAAAGCCACGAGGGAAAGGTATGAGTCCATTAAGCCGTAATGAGTTGAATGCTAAATCATAATTATGCCATAAACAAACTTTCTGATATGGTTGAATTAATGAATAAGTTCTCCATACCACTAAATCAATTAAGTCGGAAACAAACAACCCTTTAATATATCGGAGTGGAAGAAACTATATATATATGGGTGTCCATAAAGATTTATTTTGCTTGATGTTAAGCCATTTGTTCGTTCCAGCAAACAAATACTCTATTTCTTCTTCTCTTAATCTTGCACAAGTCTATTTGATAGGAGAATTTAGGGGTCGTTTATCAAACACTTATCCGGTAAGTGCTTATCGGTAAAATTTAACACTACCATTTATCGGGTAAGACTTTACTCCACCAAAACGGCATCGTATGTAACAATTTACCTAGTAAGCGCTTACCGTGGTAAGAGTCATCGCTCTCACTTACCGGGTAAGACTCTTGATTCTTGTCTCTGCTTACATTAATTTTCTCTGCTTAGAAATTAATTACATTAATTTACTCTGCTTAGTTTAATTAAAAAAAATTTACATTGAAAGGATATTTACTTTTCCTATATGCAATCAAATTATATATAGAACTCATTAGTTTGGTCATTTTTTTAAATTTGAAATGTAACTTTGCATTGTATGTGTGTGTACATATACATATACATACACGTTAACTTTTTTAATTAACTTGGATATCCAACCCGCTATGCGAGCTGACTAATCCCAGGACGACTACCTGCTTTGCAGATAACCCGGAGTCACCGCATTTAAACCGCCGTGGCTACAAGGAGATTTGTATTCCTCCTTGGATTTGAACCTGAGATCTCCAGGTAGTTTTGACATTTGGAGCCAAGCTCAAACTAATCAGGCACCGCCCTTGTGGTACATACATGTTAACTTTATATTCAAATAAAAAATACGGGACCAAGCTAATGAGTTCTACAATTTGATCCTATATAAAACAAATTAAGTATGTATAATTATGATCATAAAATTATATATACTTAGAATCATATTACATGTGTTATGTCAAAATCCAACATGTGTTAAAAACCATATTTGTGATTTAGAACCCTAAAATTTCACATGGCTACAACAAAATGTAATAAACCCTACAAGAAATCAATAGGAATATGAGTTTGTTTGGTGCATGAAGACAGACACCCACCAAGTTGTGGGCATCTCTTGTTGATTATTTATAAGATGTCTAACAAGCAATACAAAATGACACATTCACAGGAACCCTTTTTTTCTGTATTGTGGCAGGAAGACAGAGAAGAAGATGATGAAGATGCAGATGAAGAAGAAGAAAAGTACCTGCAAAGAGGGAGCTACTCCAATGGAGATGTGGCAGAGTGGTGGCAGTGGCAGCGACAAGAGCAACACACCTACAAAAGGTAATAAATAAAGGAAAGACAAAGAAACCCTCATTCATTGTTCATCTTCCATCATTCTTCTTCACATATTGTACTCTCTTAAGGATAAAAGTCTGCACCCTTCTGTCGTCTTTTTCAATTCCTTCAACAAGATTATATATATATATATATATGTCTGTGTGTGTGTGTTGTATATATATATATATATATATATATATTAACTATAGTTAGTTCATGTTACCAAGACTACATCATATCGAATGGATGCAATGAACTCCAAACAAGCACTAGAAATTCGTTAAACCAACAATTAATACCTGCAAATATTCCTGGAATTCATTAATTATTAGAGAATCAATCAGATCCCTGGAACTTAATGAAAAAGCTGTAGTGTTCTTTATAAGATCTGATTAGTATTTTGTATATTTATGTAATGTAATTAGTTGAGTATCATTTGATAATTAAGGATGGAGGAAATTAATTAAACCTCCCGAAGTGAAATCAATTACATATGAGATTGAAGATTTTGAAAATCAACCAATTAAAGGGTGGTTAATCAGGGTTAATTATGAATCAATAAGCATAGTAATGGTAATAGTAAGTAGTAGTAATTCCATAAATGCATTTTACTGGAAAATTTTACATGAAAGGAACTCTGATGAAGTACAGAAAAACTTGAAACCATTGCAGCTTTGAATAGCTGATGTCATTCCTGCTTTTTCTTTCTTTTCCTGTAAATTCTGGTAGTAAGCCTAAGCAATTTTTATTGGGTTTGAGCTTCAACATTTTCGAATTTGTGGGTGCTGATCGATTCATCCCGATGCTTATTTTCATTGGGCGTTTTCGATCAGCTACGATGTTTCCAAAACTTGATCTATAATACGGTACACAGTTTGCTCCTCAGATGTATTGTGAACAAGCCATCTCTAGGCAAATTAGCTATATATGCAAAATCCCTCTTGATATATATATATATATATATATATATGTTATTGACAGACGAATAATTGGTGTCAGATATCCAAATCCAAGGGCATATTAGTAGAAGCTGTTGATTTGGAGACTATGTTGAAAGCATGAGCAGAAGAAGATGATGATAATATCGTACTCTGATTATATTCGGTTCCTCCTCCATGTGGCCTCAACTGCAGGTAAGGAATGGTAGAAGATGATGATATGGATGGAGGAATTAGAGGCGGAGAACGATTATGATCGCAATTGGTGGTGGTGGGGTTCAATTCACTTGGGGGTTCGTAGTCTTGATCATCTTCTTCTGTGAAGGGGCAATCCATGTTAACCCCAAATAGCCGGAGTCGTTTACCAGATGCTTTCCCATGAACCTGTGGCAACGATTCTAAGATTACAGCCGGTGGAGTTGGTGATGCTGCCACAGCCGCCGTTGGTGGTGGTGGTGGTGGATCAATCCCAATCCCAACCCCAAACCCTCTTCTTTGTTGCATTTGCATCATCTGAATCTGCTGTTGTGGGCTTCTACATCCATCTGGTCCAAAATAGATAACGGATCTTGAACCATTTTTATTCACGTTCACTACGCTGCCATAAGGGCTGCCACGGGTGTAGGAGGAGGAGGGGTAGCTGTTGGTGGGCGGTAGCATCAAATTAGGGTTCCTCCATGGCAGTGCTGGATGAGATTGCAAGACGAGTGGATTCCATGGGTGAGTGTTGATATTACTGTTCCTGGTGTGGAAAGGAAAGTTCTGATGAGAAATCAACGGAAAAGAAAGATTAGATGATGATGATGATGATAACTGATATGGCGGTGGATTAATGGAGGCATCTAAGCGGCGCCTCCAGTCTATGAACAACCGATCTTTTCCGGTGACACCAACTCCCCGTTGGAAAGAAACGACATCTCCGGCATCAAGTTTCTTTTCTTTAACAAAGCGGCTCCAACCCTTGGTCATGACGTAGCTCTGGCTGCTATTCCAGTAGGAGTACCGGAACCTCCATAGCTTTCCATTTCTGTCCTCGAAGTTAAGCAGGAGTCCCTTATCGTTAGTGGAGGAATCCAGTGGGAAATACCTCTCGGCGTGCTGTTTGGGAATCACAAGCCGATTCAGCTTCCCAACGTCACTGGGAGTCACCGCTTTATCAAACATGTGCTCTCTCTCCACCTCCGTCCCTGAAGATTCTTCCTCCTCATGACGACCATGGGCGCCACCGTCACCATCACCATCACCATCACCGGCAACAGGCGTCACTGAGACTAAAGATGAATCCACCGTCATCGGATCAAATCTTGATGAGGGTTCACCTCCTTGGCTATGACCATCCAACAGCCAACCACCGCCACAGTGGTGGTGGTGGTAGGGCGGCGGAGAAAGAAAAGATTTTTCTTGCGGTTGGTGGCGGCTGTGCTGATGATGATCAGAAACAGAAGAAGAGAATAACCTATCTGCCGTTGGTGGTGGTTTTCCTTTTTCTTCTTCATCTTCCCAAAAAGAGTAATCTTCTTCTCGTTGCTGTCTACCACCATTACCACCGTCGTCGTCACTCTTTCCCATAAAATTCATTGCTACAAACTTTGTACAAGATAACAGATAGATGTATATATATAGATATATACGATCACATCTATGTAGCAGCTACTGATCTAGCCATGTATTTCTTAAAACAAAACAAACAAGAATCACAGAGATGAGACAAGAAGAGAAAGGATAACTATGAAGTATGATTTGGAGGGTGTAGTTTGAAATGAAGTTAACAAATAAAGCTGTCTGCCATGGAAGGGTTTCTAGTACAGGATAACACAGATGCAGCTAATTGATGATCATCTTCTAGCTAGGGTTTCTCACATATTGTAATTAAAACCCTTCAAAAATAAGTTAATTTAGAAGAGGACCATCATAAGCATTATTGGAAAAAGATAGAAAACCAACTCATTTGGCTAATTAATTAATTATAGCACCTACTTCTAGTAATCTTTCTCCTCCAAATTGAAAGAAGCTTCAATTCCTAGGGTTTTAGATTTAGAAGTGGAGGTTACTTTAAAAACCTCACTTTTTTCAACCAATACTAATCATTGCTTAAACTAATTACTTTAAGTAATTACTCTTAAACATTAAATATTCAATTATGCGATTAATTAATCAGAGTACATACCGCCCTCAAAAGTTCGAATCTTGAACCGCAAGGGTGGTGCCTGGTTAGTTTGAGTTTGGCTCTAAAGGTCAAAAGTAACAAGAGGTCACATGTTCAAATCCAAGGAGGAATAAAAATCCCCTTATGGCCACGGCGGTTCAAATGCAGTGACTCCGGGTTATCTGCAAAGCAGGTGGTCGTCCTGTGATTAGTTGGATATACAAGTTAATAAAAAAAAAAAGTTCGAATCTTGCACGTTTGTGTTGAAGAAAAAGACGTTATACATTGTGGTTACGATTGAATGGAAAACTTACTGATCCGCATTGAAGTATAACGACGTGATTGATTTATAGCTAACGTCGGGTTGGGGATTTGACCTATCCCTTATGTGTTAGATGACACGTCTTCATTTCCGGACGCTATGATCCATTGAATTAATAGCTAGTTACTCCATTCTAATTAATATATATAGCATGAACGTACAGGAAGGAGAACTGATGTACGAAATCATGCAAGTTTCAATTAAAAAAAATAACGTGTCGATCGACATAGCTCAAACCCGACAATGGGGTTATTATCAACCAAAAATAACAATTATATATACATATAAAGATACATATATGTATATGTGTGTGTGATATGTATGTAAATGTGTGACATTTACACTGTTTTTTGTGCATGTACATGGGGTGGGTGTAGTATTATGTTGTCCTGGCATGGTCCTGGTACTGGTCCTGGTCCTGGACTTTGAGGGTGTGTTGGCCTTATATAGTTTCTGATGAGCTAGCCAGCTTTTGTTGTATAGCATTCACCATCGAGCTTCTAATGCCATGTGTATATTATACACTTGTAAAAAGTAATCTCATCCCAATGCAATCTGTAGCTCCCACTTATTTATTTGCTTGCGTTAATTAATTTATGGAATTTAATGCTTCTATTATAATATATATATATATATATATATATATATATATATGTATATGTAACGCCAGACCACATCAAGAGCGATGTACTCCTCTTATCACCATAGTACGGACGTCCGTCAGTCTTTTATCTCTTTACTAACTTTCCAAGGTTTTGATTGAACTTTTAAAAGGTTTGCGATCTCGGAGTCGACAAATAGAATGAACAACTGAAATGGCTACGTGTGATAAAAGAATATATCACATCGATCGAATCAAATAAGTAGATTATATTATGACGGAATTAAGCATATTAGATACATTCTAGCATAACATAGATACGTCATTTTAATAAAAAAATTCTATGATTGACGGTCTTGATTTTTTTATGTTCATATGATTTACATTAATAAAATTGAAAGAATATTGCAGAAATATCTAAAGCTAGTGGGATTTTGATATCCGAACATTAAATTATGGGTTTTGGACCCCAACAGTCGGCAAAAGTGGTGTTGATTAAGGTGTGTGGATCGTCAAGACCTTTTCGATACCAGTTGTGGGCCTTAATAATACAGTCAGAATCAATAGTTATGGCCACTTAAAGCTAACATGTTCTGTTCATTTTTCGTGTTTAGGTAGTTCTGTAAATAGCTCATTTGTTACGTTATCTGTTCCAGATCCTTCTTGTATAATAATCGATACAAGATGAGAAAAACACAAGGGAATTATATACACCCATTTATAAAAAAGAACTTTTAAGAACAAATAGAAGAAATTAAGTTGTACAAATTCATTGTTTTAGTGAAATTAATATTTATGATGATAGTTGTTTTCTTAAAGATAAATAGAGTTTGGTTTTCATAAAGTACAAGTGAAAAAACTATCAACGTGTCAACTCTAATGATAATTAAGGGACGTCTGGTTCATGAAATTCAAAAAATTTTGATGGAATTGGAATGACAAATTCTTTTGACCAAATTCTAATTCTTTTGTTTGGTTCATTTTTTAAAATAGATGAAATCCTTCAAATTTCATTGAATTCTACAAATAATGAATTCATCATTCCTTAGCATAATGGAAGGAATTGAATTCCATCATCACTCACCATGACCATATTACTGTTGTCCGTCATTGACCCACCCCTAACCCTTCACCACCACCACACCGTTACTGTCGTCGCTACCCGCCCTACCCCACAACTAACCACTATGCCACTAATGTTGTCATCACCACCCACCCTTTGTCACTCACTTCACATCTCTACTACGACCATTATACTACTACTACCAGTCACCCCTAACCCACCACTGACTATCATGCCACTACTATCGTCGTCATACCCAGCCACCCGACCACCATCCACCACTTTCGTCGTCATAGCTACCACCCCACCACCCATCTCCATCGCCCTGCCGCCTCACCCCACTCCTCCCCTAACTTAACCTACCACCCCCACACCATATTGTCGTCTTCACAACCGCCACTCACCTGCACCTCACCCTACCCTAACCTACGATGCCACTATTGTTGTCGTCATATCTACCATCCCGCCATCTACCCTTACCCACCCTACCACCCACCTTACCCTACTCCAACCCACCACTAGTGACATGGTGGGGGCACGGGTGGTGGGGCAAGGGTTTGGGCAGGGTGATAGTTGTGACGAAGATAATAATGACATGGTGTTTGGTAGGATGTAGCTGGGGCGATGGGTGGGATAGTCCAAATAAAGACGGTTGTTCCAATTATTTTGAGAGATTTCATTCTAATTCCTACCAACCAAATACGTGGTCAAATTTTATGAAATTCATTCCAATTCCATCAAATTCCATTATCTGAACCAAACATCCCCCGAAAGAGTAAATTCACTACCAAATGAAGGACTTTTTCCGACGGTCAAATCCGTCGGAAATCCATCGGAAAACAGGGTTTTCGGCGAATTTCCAGTAGATTTGGCATGTCGAAAAAAATTGCACCGATGATTATTTTACTAACGGATGCTTGGTTTTCCGGTGGATTACAGCCTCCAAAAGTGTGCCACTTTATTTTTTGAATTTATTTAAAAATCTTAATTAAATTAAAGATATTATTAATCGGATTAATAACTCCGGTGAAATATTCCGCCGGTGACCATTAATTTTTTTGTAAAAATTATTATTTTTTTCAAAATTAATTTTTTTCGAATTAAATTACCGGCATAAATATCTGTCGATAATTTTACCGCCCGGAAATTAAATTAAAATTTTAATATTTTCGGCAGATTTGGACACTTGTAATCCGCCGGAGAGGTTCTTCTTGCATCGAATTAAACACTACCCCTTCCAATGGTTTCGAAGATAAAACTCGAAATTTTCTTTCATTCTAAGGCCTAACTTAAATCACCCAGTTCAGAAAATGTATTTCCTATTTTTATAAAAAATCTATAAATCCTGTAAGTATGGGAAAAAAATATGTTACATACATGAAATGCCGTTAAATATCATACATTAAACTAAAAACAGGAAATGACCAATACAATTGTCCAACCAAAATAGCACACAATTGTTCCAAATAAAAACTAAATTGTTCCAATACTAATCGTTCTTATACTAATTGTTCCAAAGGAAACAAATATTCATTACTGTGTGGGCGGGAACTGTTGAGATTGACTGAGCATCTTGACTAAAGCAGTCATCTCTTCATACTGTATCTTCCGTCTCTCATCCAACACCCACCGATGTTGCTCCTCCTCCGCCAGCTGAAGCTCCTCCTCCCCCATTGGCGCTCGTTTTCTTCTGTAAATCTCTAAGTTGGGCCCTTAAGACGTGAATTTCCTATAAAATAAAAAAACGTTAGAATATTTTTAATACGAATTCTATATGAAATAGATGAACATCATCAAAGGAAAAGAGGTACACATCAGACTATCAGAAAACGATGAACCTCCTTATGTGGATCTCCCGGTGAAGACCCATTTGGGATCTTGGTTGTATCAAAATTCAAACTTTCTTACTTCCCCCAACCATCTGCTCCACAAATTTGTTTCAAATATGGGATAGGTGGAGGGATCATCGCCCTACTTTTGTGTGAGACTCGATGAATAATCACCCTGTGGTTTAAAAAATACTACAAGTCAATTTGAACAATATAGCAACTGTAAATGGGACGTTTCCAGTCAAAACAATTCTAACATTTGTCCAACAAATGACAGTCCAAACTAAATAGTGATACATACGGAATTTCTAACTTAAATTATCTAATGTTTGCTTCAACAAATGACAACCCAAACTAGATATATAGTTACCCAATTATAAACATTAAAGTAGATAAATACTTACCACGACCTGGCTACACATAGATGTCACGTATCCCCCAGAATCTATAAACATGTCCCCTTCACTTGACCTCTTTTTATGTGTGTAATCACACACTTCCACAACTGTCGGTGGCACGCCATATTTTGCTTGCGTCTACAAAGGTCAAATAATACAAACATGTGTATTTTTAACATACTAAAAATCAAGTTACTAAAATAGGTTTTTAGGTCCTACCAAGCGAGCACCATGCTCAGAAAATGAGATCGATCCAACGTTGCGGAACACAACTTGGCTATCATGGTTCTTGTGTGCTACGTCGGAAACAACCTTCCAACGATCAATGCTCCAAATATCTACCATTTGGTTCCATACATCTGGAGAGATCCAAGTGGGGGGGAAGTCCTTCAAGACATTCATACCCCAGTGCGAGTCTCTTTCATCATAACTGTGATACGTATTCTTTGCTTTCTCTGTAGCTTTCTCCCTCGTGGCATGAAAATTATCATTATACGATTTTGCCGACTTTCTCTCTCAAATCTCCTGAACCTTGGCGTCAAAAGTCCGATCCCAAGTGTAAAAGCTATGTACATAAAAGTTTAATCGATTCTTACATTCAAATAAAACTAGCAAAAATATAACAAGTTAAATCTATACTACGAACCTGGAACTGCTCCCAGGTTTATAAATAAAATACTTAAAAAACCATTAAAAGATATGTATTTTTTGAACAAAATAAAATAAGAAGTATTACATATTTTATATGATTTATAAATAAAATAGTTATCTCAAAAATAATATATCAATTTATTTAAGCAATATTTTACTCTAGGATATTTAATTTGTATACAATGTAATAAGGAAAAATTAAAAATTTGAAATGTTTTTTTCAAATGGTTGAAGGGAAAAGTGAAAAAACCATTAAAAATAAATTGAAAGAGGTTTTTTTTTTTTAGGTCGTATCATTTATATCATCTCATTTAAGTTAAGTAAGTAAAAAAAAACGGGATTAACTGTTTTAAAAGGTAACATGTTATTTAAATGCATATTGATGTAATAAGAAAAAGCAAAAGTATAATACTAAGATAATCAAATTTATAAAAGTAAGTTGTTAATTCGTGCATTTAATCTTTTTATTTTTATATATTAATAATAATTATTATTGTTATAACGATTATTAAATTTAAATTTGTTTTTTATATCTATACTATATTATAAAATATTTGACAAAAACTCTTAAAAACCATTATTTATGCATAAAGTATTGTTTATTAATGCATATTACTTAAAATTTAAGATTACAATTAAATTGTGTGTAAGTACAACTTATTAAAACTTTATTTTTAAATCCGTATAACTAACTGCAGATAAACATAATTAAATATAGGATAAACATCTTATTTTAAATATAAAAAATTTAAAATATAATTAGGATAATTATTATCTTTATAAAAATTAGAGTGCTAAGTCAAAAATAAATTACTTCGCTATTAGATCTATTTATATATAATAAAAATTTGAATTAAAAAATTGTACATAAAAGAGAGCTTTTAAATAGTTAATTTGACATTAAGATCGATGTATTTTTTCAATTTTTAATGACATCTTCAAATTTATTTTTATTCATAAGTAAAAGGGAAAACTCTAAAAAAAACTCAATTGACTTTAATGTTTGGAATAATTAAGTCGTTGGACAATTTTTGGAACAAATAAGTATTTGAACATTTCAAAACATGTTAAATAACTCATTGGACTTTCTAAAACCTGTTACATACATCCTTATTACCTATATAACTGGTTAATGTGATAAAATAATGAAAAAAGTTTGAAAAAAAGTCAATAGACTTTTATATTTTGAACGATTAAGTCTCTAAATATTTTTTGAACAAAAAAAAAATACTTAGATCTATAAATTTAAACAAATATACCAAAAAAATACTTATATTTACGAAAAAATTACTTACATTTAAAAAATATTATTGATAAAATTTATTTTAATTAAAAATAAAGTGTATTCTCTCAATGATTTTTCAAACTAAAAAAATAAAAAATATATTTAAAAATGATTACTGATGAAATTTATTTTAATTAAAAATAAAATATATTTTTATTTTTAAGTAAAATAAATCTTATCAGTAATTTTTTTAATTTAAGATGTGATATGCATAATATATTTTATTTTTAATTAAAAAAGTATACCCAGTAATACTTTTTAATATTTTTTTTATTTTTTTTTAATTTGGAAAATCACTGACAAAATATTTTTTATTTTTAATAAAAATATATTTCATCAATAATCTTTTTTAAATGTAGGTACTTTTTTGGTATATTTGTTTGATTTTATATATGTAAGTTATTTTTTGGTTCAAAAATTGTTTAGAGACTTAATTGCTGAAAATATGAAAGTTCATTGGCTTTTTTACAGGTTTTTCCCCTTATTTTATCACATTAATCAGTTTTATAGTTCATAAGGATGTATATAACAAGTTTTAAAAAGTCCAAGGATTTATTTAACAGGTTTTGGAATGTTCAAATACTTAATCATTCCAAACATTAAAGTTCATTGGTTTTTTTTAGATTATTCCCAAAGTAAAAACACCGTCTTTCTCAAACCACATAAACTGTATTATATCAACAAAGTCAAAAAATAAAACGAGACATTAAAATGAAAATATATCGCGCTGCATTGCGCGGATACTTCTTATTCTATGATATTCACCTTTTTATTTATTTTCATAATCAATTTATGTAAAAGATATGTGCAATGTAGTCTAATGTTTCTACATAGTTTTAGAAGTAAATTACATTTTTGGTTCTTATAGTTTGTTAAAAATTTTAATATTCGTCCTTGTGGTTTCAAAATTGTGATTTTCGTCTTATGTAAAGATTTGTAAATCATAAGAATTGAAATAACAATAAATTATAAATTATAAGAACGAAAATAACAATGATTTATATACTATAGGGATGAAAAGCCTAATATCTAAACCATAAGGACAAAAATTGTAGTTTTTAACAAACCATAAGGACTAAAAAGGTAACTTACTCTAGTTTTAGTTTTATTTTTAGTTTATTTTAAAATATTAGTATTATGAATTTCTAAGTTACAAAAGATATGTTTTTACAAATCTAACAACATATTTTTGTATGTTAAAATGAACAAAATTACAAGATTATGACATTTCAATTTATACATCATTTTTAATTAGAATATGAATATAATTTTATATGTTTATATCATATTATAAAGCATTTGACTTCAATTTTTAATACAGATATTTAAGCATTACATACGATTTATTAATGCAGATATCTTAAAATTAAGGTTACAAGTTATTACAGTTTATACGCACCTTTGTAAAAAGCTTTTAAAATTTAAGTTACAACTTATTTTTGAAAATCATGTTTAATTTTTCATAAAATTAACTAATAATTAATTTTTTTGAATGAAATATAAATTTGAAAAAAAAAATCGATATTAGTATAAAATTAACTATTTAATAATTCTCGTTTTTTTTTTGTGTAACTTCTTTAATTCAATTTTTTATTATACGTTAATTTAGATTTAATAACAAAGTAATTTATTTTTTGTTTAATAATATAACTTTTTTATAAAGATAATAATTAAACATTCTGTTAAAACTCAATCATTATCTTAATTATAATTTAGATTTTCTATATTTTAAAAATAAATGTTTATCATGTATTTGATTATGTTTATCTACAATTAGTTACACAAATTTAAAAATATAGTTTTAATAAGTTAATTGTATTTATGCAAAATTACTTGTAATTTTGAATTTTAAGTAATATGCGTCAATAAACAGTATTTCATGCATAAAAAATGGTTCTTAAGAGTTTTTATCAAATGTTTTATAATATAGTATAGATAATAATAATACAACTATAATTATATAATGATAAACTAAAATGTGGATGTTCTAACAATTTTAGAAAAACTGTAATCTGACCTGGCAAAGGTTACTATTACACCAGTACTAAAACATAGATCGTCTAAAATGAGTAATAAATAAAATAAAATAAAAAATCATATTATATTAAAGATCTTATCAATTAAAATAATAAAAATATTTTAAATGATAAAATGAGAAAAATATTTTTGTTGATGTTTGATGTATAAATCTAGGCCCAAAAAGTTTGGAGCATGTTTAAAAACCAATTCGTTAACTAATGGGCTGTTTACTAAACACTTATCCTGTAAATAGTTACCGGTAAAATTTAGCACTATTATTTACTTACCGAGTAAGATTTTAGTTCACCAAAACGACATCGTATGCAACAATTTACCCGGTAAGCGCTTACCGTGGTAAGAGTCGTCGTCTTCACTTACCGGGTAAGGCTCTTGGTCTTTGTCTCGCTCTTACCGGATAAGATTCTTGGTATTTACCATATTCATGCGGTGAGGTAATGTTACGTGTCAAGGCGCTTACCTGGGTAAGCGTTTGGTAAACGGTCCGTAAATGTAGTGGGACAAGTCTAGGGTTATGGATATTGATACTTGATAGGTGATGTATCTTTTGGTATGAATGAAGTAGTTGGTGACATAAAAACGTTGATCCCTTCGTACGACTTCTAACAAGTTGTTTGCTTTCTTTCTTCTTTCGTTTATTCGTTTCTTCCCTCATTTTTTTTATTAACCTGGATATCCAACCCGCTATGCGAGCCGACTAATCCCAGAACGATCATAGCCCGGAGTCATCGCATTTGAACCTCCATGGCCACAAATAGATTTTTATTCTTCATTGGATTTGAACCTGAGACCTTCTAGTGTTTTTCATCTTTGGAGCCAAGCTCAAACCAAAAACGTTCAGAAACGAATAAATATATGATAACAGAAGCGTTCAGAAACAAATACGTTGTTAAAATACAATTATTATAAGTAAACAAATAATTGTATAGTTTTTATCCACATAAAATTCAACACAAACGAGATAAAAACCATCTTAATTGACAACCCCTACACAGAATTAGGATTGATCTTTTGGTAAAATATAAAAACCATGACATGCCATCGAACCACGGAATCACAACATTTTCTTTAGGAATCACGGACGTCCGTGATGGCCATCTACTTCTTCAAGGTTTGCATGATGTACTCACCATAGAGGTCCCTGCACGTTCAGTAGACATGATACATTAAGTTTATAGCAAGAAGTTTTAGATTTGGATTCTAGTGTTCGAAAGCGAGCGTTTACATGGAGTGCTGAATGGCGTCGTAAGCGGTTTTTGACGGGAGAAACTCATCGACTGCAACCTCTTTGTTCTCGTTCTTCTTGTCTACATACGCATCAAGGAAATTTATTGGATCTTTCTATCAAACCGACCCAGTAAATCCCGCTCTTGAAGCTAGGGAACGGGAAAGATGAGATGTATGCAGACATGGCTTCTATCTATCTGTATCGATACAATAAAATGAAAAGATGTGAAATGAAAAAAAAAACTAAGGATACAGTCCTCAAAGAAGCGACGGATTTCAGACAAACGATGAGGGGGTAGCTGGCTTATATCGTTGTAATGGCGATATTCTGGATCGTCCGCACAAACTGCAATGATTTTGTCATCTTTCTCTCCCTAAACGAATGCATCAAACGAGATTAATTCCTAATCGTCAAAAAATGTATCGTAAATTGGTGATCTGAAGTTTGTTTAGTTGGAAGATTTCCCACTTGATCAATCATGGGCATCAGTCCAATGGCTCTGGCTCGAAGAAAACATCCCGGCACCACTTGTTCCTGTTGGATCATGGATCAGAATTATGCGTCGTATATAAAAATGTTACATTAAGTTTATATGTAACTTATAGCGCGAACACTTGTTTGATCCCACAAGCTTAAGTTCTATAACGCAGTTTATTACGACACTTAGACATTTTAGGCTTCCTATAAACCTGATTTTGTTGTAGTGTATTCATGCATACCTGCATGATGACAAGCACGTCCATTGGATCATTATCTTCGCATAGCGTTCGTGGGATGAAGCCATAGTTGTGAGGGTAGACCACCGATGAATATAAGATGCGATCAACCTGATGAGATCATGTAAGAAATCAAAATCAATCGCGCACGAAGGTCCAACAATGGCGGATTGATGATTTTATATGCGTTACGTACCTTGATGAGACCAGTTTTCTTATCAAGTTCATATTTCACTTTGCTTCCCTTTGGGATCTCAATAACCTGTGGTTTAGTTGACATTCAAAAATCTAATAATCATCTGGCCACCAACCAAATTAAACAAAAAGGACAATACCAACATTCGTACGTACCACATTTACAGTCTGAGGAGCTTCGGGTCCTGCAAAGTTAAAGACGGATTCATGAAACGGGAAACTTACGAAGAAGAAACGAACACGTATAATATCTAGCAATTTGATTACCGATGTCGAGATCATGCCAAGGGTGAGCTGCAACGGATCGCTTGGATAAGGATGATAGGATCCTTTCGTTCAAGCGCGGGGTACGTTTCACATCAGTCATGCCGAGCTAGCTAGATCGATCGACAGCTTTCGATTCCGAAATTCAATAGAGCAATCTGTAGAAAACAGTTTTTGTGATTCATGTGTGAAGATGAGCATGCATATGTATATATTCATAATGAATAAAAGGTACCTTAATGGAGTTTGGTGATGAGATTGGAGTGTTGTTAATTGATGGGGGGTAAGAAGAGTTTATATACAAAAATTAGTGGTGATGCTGATAAAGTGGGAGAGATGCGTGAAGACTAGCTACGCATCGATAATCCACGTGGATAAATTACATTTTTCGTCCCGCTATTTTATTGGTTTTTTTAAACATTTTATTTATTATGAAAAATATATATCTATACTATATTATAAAGCATTTAACAAAAAAAATTAAAAACCAAACTGCAGATAAAGATATTCAAATACAAGATAAACATTCATTTTTAATATAGAATATCTAAAATATAATTAAAATAATCATTGAGTTCTAACAGAATGTTTAATTATTATATTTATAAAAAATTATATTACTAAACCAAAAATAAATTGCTTTGTTATTAAATATAAATTAAAACTGAATTAAAGAAGTTACACGAAAAAAAAACCAGAACTATTATATAGTTTATTTGATACTAATATTCATTTAATTTTTTTCAAAATTTTATCCTATCTTCAAATTTATATTTCATTCAAAAATAAAAACATTATTCGCTTTCTTAAAACCACATAAAATCGTATTATATCGATAGAGACAGAATAAAACTAAACATCAAAATCGAGATTTGTCTTGCTGCAGTGTGCGAGTACCCTTCTATTATATATAAACTTAAACACACCGCCATATCAAACTCATCACTTTGTCATAACGTATCGCCTTTCTCGGGCTCGTTGTGGGCCTCAAAACCGCGTTTTTTTATTGAATTTTTCATCTATCATTCTAAATTGGGCTTGTTTTGTTTTATTTTTGGCCCATGGGCTTTTAGACTTGCTTGTTAGTTGCCCTATTTGAACACCCTTCAATTAGAGATGGCCAAATGGGCTCGGCCTGGCCCGTAATCGCCGGAGGACCGGAACCGTCCCGGGACCGGTATGGACCGGTTGTGGACCGCCGGTTATAAACCGGTTATGGATTTTACCGTTTTCTAGGACCGAGACCGGTTAAGACCGGAACCGGTTATAGGACATGCCCGGCCCAGTCAACAAAAGTCAACATGTGTATATATATATATATATATATATAAATAGCAAAACATATTTTTAAAC